TGCGATCGGACTCCACTTTCTGGCAACACTGATCACGCTCATTGTCTTCAATACCGGAGCTGAATTTTGTATTATCAGAAGTAATAATATTCTTATACACGGAGTTAGCTATTTCGGGTGTGGAGCAGCAGAGTAAGGGGCTGAAGAAATTAATTAATTGACCATCAGACTTTAAATAAACCAGTGTTGGAAATTCTTTCTTGAATTTTGGGAGGGGAATCGAACTCAGCTCTTGCAAACAGCAACAAAACAGTAGCAATCTGGTGCACGAAGACGAGAAATAATCAACGCTACCATATCTCCAGGAAGATCAGACCAACATCTCTTTTGATCACGAACACCTTCGTGCAAAGTCGTCGTCATTATCATTCAATCGTCCAATTCGGTTACAGAAACTGGAGCTCAGATTGAGTTGAGGGAGGGAGGGGCTGAGATATATTTAAGTGCTTTCGATGTATAGCTAAAGCTTATATATATAGAGAGAGACAGACATGAAATATTGCAATCGTTTCCTTTCCTATTTAGGAATAGGAATCCTTAATTATGCGGGGATTTCTTATTTTTCCCAATAATAAAATCCCAACAAGCTTAGGATTCTAAACCTCATAATAAAAACGGATTACTTTTTTTTAAAAAATTCCTATATAAAAACCTTGTCCTTGTTGATACCCAACTCAACCCCTATATATTTATATTGGCAAAGTTAAAAATCACGCTAAAAAATAATTCCTAGTTGATATAGAAATCCTTAATAAAAAAGGATTTGTAATATACTAGTTTATTAGATTTATTGTTTAGTTAAAATATTATATTCCTTATAAGATTATGATTTTTTTAAAGTAGTTTAATTCCGTAATTTTTTAGGACTTAAAGCATATAAATAAACTTATAATCTTAAACATAATACATAAATATAGAGAAATATAAAGAAGAGCAATAAAAGTGTATCTCTTTAAAAAATCTTAGTAAATTATCATTCTTCTTCTTAATCTTCAGTTTTATTTTTATAAATTAGGTATTACACCCTATTTTTATTTTTCAACATATATATATATATATACACACACGCTCTTGCAAGAGCACAAAAGAGTTGTGTTGCAAGAAGAAGAAGAGCAACTCTCTCCAAGGTGGGAAGTGCTTGTTTTGTTGATTTTCTTGGCACGCTATATCTTGGGCTAACTCAATGGAAGTTAATAGCACGGAGGAGGAGGAGGAGCAAAGCTTTCAGTGTTGGCCACCAGCTGTAGGATTACTTCCATGTCTTGTTTTCTTCCATGGAAGTAGTGAAAAAGGCCAGACCTTTTATGACATCTCAGAATGTCGTTGCCACGTCAAAAACATTCCAGGGTTGCAAGGTAAACTAATAGGGACGTGCTCATATGGTTGGTTAGTCATAGCCGGAGATTCGATTTCAGATGATTGTTTTCTGTTGAATCCTATCTCTATGATGAAGATTCAATTGCCGTCTTTGGCACCTGACTTCACCTGGACAGATTGTGTCCTTTCATCGCCTCCTCATCGTCCCGAGTCTGTTGTCATGTTTTTGAATTTTGGTTATGGGATTCTCAACGTCAAGTCCTGCAAGCCTGGTGATGTTGAATGGACAGGACAAGACTTAGAGCTTCATGATGAATGGTTTGATGACTCGGATTGTGGCGTATCAGTTGGAGTTCATAATGGAGACATTTACATACTCACCTGCTATGAGCATCTCTACTTTGTCAAGTTTAACAAGTCTTGTGGCATTACATTAGTTGATCTGAAAGTGGATGATCGCACAAGTCCAATCACAAGGAAATTTCATAGTTACTTCCCAACATATCTGGTTGAAACATGCGGGGAGTTCCTTCGTGTCCATTGCTATATCCTTCATGAACAGCTGATGGATATTTCGGTTTATAAATTAGATTTCAATGAGAAAGTTTGGATGAGAATAAAAAAATTGAAGGATCGAGCAATTTTTATAGGTTCCTCTGGGGCACAAGTTCTTGCTTGCTCCACAGAAGAATCAAGAATTCAAGGAAACAGAATCTATTTGACATTACCTGAAGACAGAAGCCTATATGTGTATGATCTTGATTTGTGTGCTCTCGAGGTCTGTTTGCCATGCCCAAATGTGAAAGGTGACTGGATTCAAAATGATTGGATCTTACCTCTTTTCGAGGATAAATAGTCAATTAGGACGTGATTTTCTATCATGAGGATAAAATACTATGTATTTCCCATTTAATTAATAAAAACAGGTGGTTTCTCCTCGATTGATTTTAGAAATAGATGATAGGAAACAGTAGTTCGCGTCCATTTTTGGAAATGTTTTTGCGCACCCTTCAGTATTTTGATTATAATTTTCTACCCGATGCAAATTATCCCCATTCAAAAAGATCGTTTTGTAACACACATCGCCTGTCAAAATGAACATCAGCATTAAAACCGAGATCAAGAGTTTCCAATTGGGAAAGGTACCCAAGCTTCCAGGAAGGAAGATTTTCTTTCATGGAGTTCCGGGAAGGAACTTAAGGTAATAAAATTTCTTCCCTACATAATTTTAATGTCAGTATTCCACACCCATGTAGGCTTTGAATTGTCGACAGGAAGTTCCATAGAGAAATGGAGTGCGTCAAGACCAACTGATGATGTGTTTTAGGTGACCCAAGCTCCCTTGTCAACTTCACACTGCAATGCAAATTTTCCCTTGCTCAGGTCCAAGCGAAATACAACTCCCTGTTACTGGTTTTAGCTCTTATCTATATACTAATAATAACAATTGACATGGAGCTGCTATGAGAAGTTTGTGAACGTCTATATATATGCTGATACTTGGACCTCTTATTTCAGTCTAATTCTTTTCGTCTTTTGTTTTCCTTTAGCTCTTCTGCTTCTTATTTCTGGGTTATCTTCTTGGACGTTATCTTCATTTCCCCTTGCCTATTATAGTTACTTTCCTAACTCGCACACTGTGATGCATGTGCTATCTGCTTCGCTTTAGATTTCGCTTCTGCTTCCTTTGTTTTTTGCCAGGTCTTCTATATAGTTGGGACTGTGATTGGTGACTTCGTTTTTTTCTTTCTGTTCTCCTTTTTCCTGTCTTTGCGTTTCTCTTTTACTGGTTTGAGCTGTTGTTTGATCAATTGTGTGTGCTTTATAAGTTGCTAATTTGTTTTTGTCCCCGCTGTCGGTGCAGTTCTTCATGCTTTCTTGGTTTCTTCTCCACTTTTATTTCTAGGCTTCTTAAAAATCTATTTTATTCTTTGTATTTTTCTCATTGCTTCTTCTCTCTGCTTTGGTTTTCTGGTTGGTAGAATGTGCCTTAGTACCTGTTCTATTGCTGTGGCTGGTGTATTTTCTTGAAACTCTCTGCCATCTCTTTGTTATTAGATTGGTTTTCAGTTGTTTCTCTTGCTTCTGGTCTGGGTGTCTGCTCTGTCTCTTTGTTGCTGCACGTATGTGTTGGGTTATGCAGATTCTTTTTTTAGACGGCTTAGCAGCCAGCACCATCGTTAGTGAATTTTAGCCTGTCAGGAAAAAAAAAATCAATAAGCGCAAACGTTAGTATTCAATTTAGTGTGTTGATATCACATTTTCCCACGTGGGAAATTAGAATTGAGTTTTGAGCATGCAATTCAGACAAAATTAAGAATCTTTTCGGTTGACAAAACAATAAGAAGGTAACTAAGAATTTAAACGGGAAGAAGTATATCTACCAATTAAATAATGCTCCAGAGAAGTTTTCTGTGAGTTTTTAAGTGCTACAAATGTATAAAATCGAACGTGTCTGTGTATCACCAGAGGCTGAGGTAGACTCTAACATTAAGAAGGAAGGAAAGAAAGAACGAAAGAAGATGAAGTTGGGTAGACTCAGTGCTTACCTGTTGTGAGAGAGGGCCCATTGATTCTGCTGATTTTTTCCCTATCTTTTGAAATCTTTGAGCTGGGATCTGCAGATTTGTTTCTTTTGTGTTCTATTTTTTTTTTTTTGGTGATCCTGCATTGCTTGGTGGTCTTTGCTTCAATTTGAGTCTAGCCTTTTTCATGTTTCTCGGAGATTTTTAGACCCCTCCCCTGTTTTCCTCTAATGACGGTGTCTTTTTTGGTTGCGTACTCGGGTTCTGCAGTACGCTTAACACAAAAGGAGCTGGGTTCAGTACGCTGAACCCAAGAGGAATTGGGTTCGGCTGTATGCTGAACCCAGGTGCATTTTAATTCAGCTTGTACATTAAATCCAAGTATAGTTGGATTCAGCTTGAGGCTGAATTCAAGAGGAGTTCGACTCAGGCCAATTGAGCGCGAGCGTACTCCGGCCCAATACAAGATTAGGCGTGGAGAAAATATAACCGCAAGGTTTTTGTCTTTTTTTCCTGGTGGATTCCGGTTGGTGTGGTCCTGAGAGTTACAGAAACCAAACCAAGTATGTTATCCAGCGCTGTCTATTCACTTTTCTTTGCGTTCTTTGTTTGGGAGCAGTATCTTGCCCTTCTTTCCTTCATTTTATCGGCCACTGTTTCTTCAATGAAGCTTCTTTTGTCAAACCTTTAAAAACTGGGACAGCCCATGCTTGATTCATCTTATTGCTTTACTTTATGTTCTGAATCTTGGTTTTCGCTCTGGATGTGGTCCTTCTCCGATGTTAATTTCATCAATGAGCTTTTCAGTTTTTGCAGTTACGTGGATGCTACTCTGCTCCTTTTTTTTTTTTTTTTTTGTTATAGCTCAATGTTGCTGCTTGCTATGCGTGCAGTTTTAGCTTGCCTTTTGATTTGTTTTTCCACAGTAGTTTCGCATGTTTGAATAACCTGAGTTGGGTCCTGCGGTTACCGGGATTCAATAGAATTGAATCCTGCCAATCAGCAGAACCACTAGAGTTGAACCC